TCAAAATAATTTGCAATTTTCAGGAAACATACCTCTTGACTTGCACCGCCGTCATTAAGCAGCACCGTGTTGACCCGCTGAACACGGCTCAACTCTTTGCATCTCCCAAACATGATGATTCCATATATAAGGGCCAAGGGAGCTGTCTTCTTATCATAGCTGTGGCTGAGTTGTATCATCTGAGACAACAACTTGAACACTGTAGGGCATTGCGTCTCCACTTCTTTCACAATCTCTTCGAAGTTTAGCGTACTCATACCGGGAAATCCTCGTTCTCTGAGAACCGACTTGGTCACTCTTCGCGCTACCTCTAACAACTCATTTTCTACTTCAACAAGAACTTTTTGCAGAAATTCTTCATATCTGTCTTCGTCAGCTAAAGGGGGGCTTGTTATCTACAGAAAAATTCGAAGATGAAATAAACAACGGCATCCTTGTTGAGCAAGTTATAAAATATAACTAGTTTTCACATTCAGTTATTCTGAAATTATTTCACAGGTAACCGAGTAACAAGCCTATGAGGGAATGAAAACAAGCTTTCAAATACATTTACCTTAGGTTTACCTTAGGAATTGAACTGCACTTTCTTGCAGATTCGTGGTTTGAGAGATTTCCAGTGGCTTCAGTAAGTCACTCTGAATGAAGGTGTGAGAAAATATTTGAGTCGAGGTGTTACAATCGTGAATTCATCATTAACAACGAAACAAATGAAATGCTGTAATACCCACGCAGAAGAATTATTAACAGCACAATCGAAACTAAATTTTTCTTTTTCTTACCTCCTGTTAAGTTGAAGATAAGCTCAAGTCTTGATTTTCGGCATCGACGGCGAAATTCAAGCCGCGGCGAGTCGTTCCATCTTTCGCGCTCTTCAGAGTTCGCGGCGCCAACGGCGACACTTCAATGCACCTTTTCACTCTTTCATGCCTTTCGCTTCTTTGTAAGTGACTTTGGCTCTCCGTGATCATTGCCCTGAATGCTCGAAAATTATTCAAGCGCCGTTCACAAGGCCTACATACTAGATGTGGCCTTAATTCTTTGCGTTGTAAAGTTCCTCCAAACACAGCCTCGGCTGTGGCGAGCAATTGTTCATTGGCCTTCTTGAACAGATTTTTACAGTGTGAAACGTCCTTTACTAAACTGCACAATCTACAGCAACTTTGGTTTCCGATAACAGACAATGTATACGTTTTTTTCGGTGTTTGCAAAATATTATCGCCAGACATTGCCGTAGAACAACATATGGTCACATACCGTCGAAGCGCGTGAAGCTTGGTTTGTTTTGGTGACAACACATCCCGCACTCCCGTAGACTCAGTATAGACAAAATTCTTACCTAGCCGCCCCTTCCTTCAATGGAATAATTGTCACCTCCCAGATTCTGGGAGGCACGTGACCAGACCCAACCAGGGTCTCTCTTCGCTCGCTCCA